TAAGACTGAAATTCGGTATATAAAAAAGATTTATTTAAATTGTGTGAAATCGAGATTGTGTAAGTGACATAAATAAGGTTCGTTCGTATCATAGCATGAAAAAATTGAAGCAGAATCGTGGAATAGAAATTGAAGTGATTTCACATTTAATGACTGAAAAGACTCAATTAGCAATTAATAAATTTGCGTTCGGTTTTTTATTTAAGAAAACTGTAAATATCCTGTCATGACTAAATAGTCATGACATAAATATGTCACGAGTAATTATTTAAAGGCTAAAATATAATTGAAATCCACTTTCGTGATAAAGTTTTTTTTATTGTCTAGTTTAGTGAATATATTTCAAGCACATTTAAGGGGAAAGAAGTCATCTAATTAATTATCATAGTGGTATAATTGGTAAAAATATTACACCAATAAAAATTCAAGAGTATTATTGTATTGTTCAAGGATAAAAAAGTTTACTTACATTTTTATCAGTGGGGAAATTTATTGAAACACATTTCTTGAAAAATGTACTACCAAATTTCATTTTCAACTTTTAGAAAATATATTATGTGCGGAAAAACTTTCAACAGCAAAGGAACAAAAAGCATTTTGTCATACATCATAAGAATCAAATAATAAAATATTAAGCTACAGAAAGCTATTACATTCTAGCACGACTTCGAAAGTGCTATAACAGGTAAGGAAATAGATTTTATTTAGTTTTTATATTATTTTATTTGTTGAGACTGCATAATATATTAAGTATAGTAAAGAAAAAACAGATTATGATATCTATTTCAATTTATGTGAACAATTGTTAGATATTTAACGAAACTGTTAAAAAAGTGTTATCTAAATAAATAAATAAATTCTTTAAGAATGACTCACTTATTTCACATTTGATAAAATTATGTCTTTCGATATTTTTTTCTTCAAGCCATGCAATATAAGGTTGGGTAGTATATTTACAGTTGCCAAAAGTTACATTTTTAATGAGGATAAACAATATTATTTAATTGTCTAATCGACTGGGCCGCACATTGTTATGTAGTGACTTTATTAGTTATTAACTTTAAACAAGCTACTTAGCTTGTTTTCTGGTAGTTTATTTATAAAGTTAGTTTGCATTGTAGTTTTTGTTGGCATTTTTCTCTGAAAACTTATTAATATTTTGCGTATAGTAGTTCGTATTTGATTTACAGAGCTCAAAGTCAGTACCTGAGCGATGCGACTCGTTTGAAGCACTTAGCTGATAAAGAGACTGATACAACAAAACAGTGTATGCTGTACCTGGAGGCTGTACTTTACTTCTTACTAACGGGCAACGCCATGGAACACACGAGGGTTACAGAAAACGCCTGTTTCACAATGTATAAAGACACATTATCGTTAATAAGGTAACTACGTTAATAATTTAGCGAGAAAGCGGTGACTCATGTAACCATTTTAGGTACATCACTTCGAAATTTCGAAGCCAACATAACGCGTCTTCGAAGCACAATAAGCTCGCTGTGTTAAGGTAATTTCAAATAAACACACCTACCAATTATGGTATTGACTTGACGATTTTTCCGCAGTTATCGGTGCCAAGCGCTTCTTTATTATAAACTATTCAAGATGAAGAAGTACGAAGCGAAAGACTACCAGAAGGTTCTTAGCGAATATTTTAATAACAAGGTCAGTAATTAATCATTTGAATAGGTTTGACAATCTTCAATTTAAGTTGCCTGTGATTCTGTAATTGTTCAGGTTCACAGCCCATTTTACTAAATTTAATTGGGAGATATGTATACCATGGGTGAAAATGGGTGTTTCAGGCCGTCGCGATACCTCCAGAGCAGCAGAACCAACAGGGTCAGGGTACGCCGTCACCCATGTCCCCGACGCCGTCTCCTGCCGGTTCAGTGGGTTCGGTGGGCAGCCAGTCGTCGGGTTATAGCAGTGGTGAGTTGGCGGCGAGAGGTAGCAATGTGCCGCCGCCTGTCCCGTCGACGCACGCACAAAGTGGGGGTGCTCACGTCTGGATTCCTCAGAACATTTACAATGCCATGTACAAGCAGAACCAGAATTTCACATATCTTCTGTCTTGTCAGGATCTGTGGGACACGGCCGATGCTCTCGTCATCAAGGGTAAACACACAGGTTTGTGTTGGTGGAATTGGTGGGTTGAGGATTGGTACATGTTGTGTTGTCCTTTCAGATTTCTTTATCGACTTGGATAGGCTGTGCAAGCCTTTGACGATGCACAGCTCGCTGATAGACCTAGTGAGGTACATTCGCGAAGGGATTAAAAGGTTGAACGAGAGTTAGAATTGACCAATGACGTTTGTAAATAAGATAAATGTATGCCAAAGAAGCACTGAGTCAATTTCAATGTCAATGGAACCAGCTCGTTACTTGGACAGAATATACACTTTTTACATTTTACCTACAGATTATATTAGAGTAGAGTTGACTTATTTAATCATTTACTTAGGGCATATTTGCCGATTAGATTGGTTTAATGTTGACTAGAACAATTGAGTGATCCTACATATATGACTTTTGATGTCGTTTCTAGTTAACTGACTTAGGGTGCAGTACTATAATAATATTTTTACAATGATAGGAAATTCCACGTACATAGTGTATATTTTTTTGTAAATACTGTATGCTAAAGTTATATATTTACTACATCTGCTATATTTGTACAACGCTAATCTAGAGGCCTAGTGAATCAAACTTTGCATCTCACGTGGTTGTGGATGTTAAATTAATAAATATTAGTCATTGTTATTTTTGCATATATATTGTAGGCTAAGTGTGCATATGTAACATGTATGTAAATCTTGTATCATATTTTATAAATTTTAAATTATTTTATTTTATTGTAAGTATTTTCATTAAGGCCATTTACAAAACAAAAATCAAATTGATATGTATAATTTTGTACCTATAATTGTTGTTGCATTATTTATCTATCAACGCTGGCAGAAAATCTTAAAAGGTTAATTTTCTTCCAGAGTGATTGACGTATTAGCATTCATCATTAAGTAAAGTTTCACTATGATGTATTTTTTTTCTCCTCAAACTTTTACTCATCCAGTTTTTATCAAAACTGAAGGTTGATCTCAAAACTTTAACTTGTTATTAACACATTTTATGATACTGAATTGTAGTGAAAATTTACTTAAATGTGCAGAACAAAGTTTGGTTACAAACTTGGAAACTCTCTTTGCACATTGTTGATTTATGTGGTGCTATATTTATTACAATCTTTTCTGATGATCTCTCGAATCAAAGATCAAAATTTCCAACAATACGCGGAAATTTATTCAGATGTCCTTGACAGAAGGTCACGCAGAAAAGGTTGTCTCTTTAACTATTTTTTATTTTCTCTTAATTGTTTTGCCGTATTCATTATGATCAGAAATGGTAAATTAGGCTGTTTGGGACCAATGGAAGAAAAATCTCTGAATGTGTATACGATTGGCAGACAAATTCAACTTTTGATATTAATTCGTAAATCTCAATTTTTGCCTTCCATTCAGTTGATTTTTTGTTTTTTATTTGCGTTTTAAAATGTTGCTGTTTTAATGAAATTGGTTTTTATGTAAATTAGTTATTTATTCTTTTAATCAAATTTGGCCTCTGCATCTTGACCATGTTATCGTAATCTGGACATATCGACTGACAAAATGATTGTTTTTTTCCCTTTTTTGTTTGAAATATATTAATTTATTTTATATTTATTTTCGTTTTCTTTGTTTCATGTAACCAAACTTGGTCTGTTACAGTTGCAATAGAAATATGAACTCATAGAACTCCAAAGTAAACTTAAAGTGACCTTGTCTAGATCATAAATAAAATGAATACATCAGTACCTTGTACATATTTATACATAAAAATTTAACATCAGTTATACTTTTGAGGTGATGTGTAACAAAAGGACCCAACTTTTTTTTCAAATATATTATTACAGCATACAAACTTCTTCCATACAACCTTCACTGTCCGCAATTTTCCTTTCAAATAAGTTGAATTCATGGCTCCACATAACATTATTAACTCTTTCTACTATAGTAAGGTTCTATCGCGTTATTCAAGTTAACTTATACAATGGCAACATTTATTATTTATTTACTTATATACAAAACAAGAAATACAATAAAAAACGATTCTCTTTTTAATCACAATTCTCATTTTTTTGTGAAGTCTCCTCCACTTTGCACATGCCCTGCGTCTCCGCGGTGGCTTTTTTCTTCCACTTTCCTCCTCCATATGGCGCATGCCTCCTCTTCAAGTTGGAGGTTCCATCTTCCTCTACCTCAAACTCCATATTGAGGTCATCTCTGATAATTTTCAGCAATGTTGTTCTCGGCAAACCCAACAACTTCGACCTTTCCCTCAGCGATAAATCTGGTGCTTCTTTCAACGACGCTCTCACATACGGCACATGCATAAGCCTTGACAGTGGTCGTCCGCATTTTTCCCTATCTTCTACGTTTCCCACACTGAACAATTTCCTTTCCCAGCTCAAAAATGTCGTCCTGTTGGGAGGTGCAATGTTGAATCTGGCCAAGAAATTGGAGTTAATGTCTTTCCATGTTTGGTTATTGTACTCCTTCTCGTGGACCCAAACCGCGGCTACGATCTTCTGTTCGTGTGTGTATCTCGATGAATCGGACGTTTCGGCTTCATCATCACTCATTTTAGGGACAGAGGATCTGCGATGACATTATTTCAGAACAGCTGTAGATACTACGTCCCCAGTTTATGGATTTTGCAGGATAGGGCTAATAAAATGTCGCGAAATCCAGAAAAAGCGAACTCATTTTTTAATTCTTTCACTTTTTAACAAATTGATACCTACACCTTTAGTTGCCTTTAACATGCGTTTAGACGAACTGATTTGAACAAAGACTTAATTACTTAAATTTACTAACGGAAGCATAAACTAATTTTTCACAATTAATAGAAATCTATAAAACCTGACAAGAACATGCGCAGATGCTAGGCACTTCATTGACGTCATTGTGTGACTCGAATCGTTCTCTTTCGTTCGTTGTCCTTCGACCGAGAAAGAACTAAACGTGAGTAAATCATAATTTTAATCGCTTTCTATTGTGTTTTTCCGTTTTCAAATAAATATAGGAGGTGCAAGATGTAATAAATTCTGACCTCAAACAATTTTGACCAAGTAAAATTTATTTAAATATTATTGGAATAAATCTCGATAACACGTGCATAACTTGAAATGCGTTGCGACGCCATTTTATCTTTTTGATGAATTTCACCAACAGAGTGAAAAATCAAGCATCTTTAACAAGTTTTTTTTTACACAATAGATTTTAAAAACCCACGCTTTGTACCGTTTTCTGCATATTTTTGAAACGCGTAATTTAAAAACATTGCAGAATGGCGGACGCAGCTCCAGCCGGTGGGCGCGGTGGTTTCCGTGGAGGCCTAGGTGGTGCACGTGGAGGTCGTGGTGGCCCACGTGGTCGTGGTCGCGGCCGAGGTAGAGGCCGTGGACGCGGTAAAGAAGACCAAAAAGAATGGATTCCTGTAACCAAACTGGGCCGTCTTGTGCGTGACGGAAAAATCCGGTCACTTGAAGAAATCTATCTTTTCTCTCTTCCAATTAAAGAATACGAAATCATCGATTTCTTTATCGGGCCTTCCCTCAAGGATGAGGTAAGTTTCTTACCATCTCATTCTGCAAATCAATAGCTGTTAACATGATGAATAACTTTTATTCTTTCGCGGTTTCCACCAGAAGAATTTTATTCTAATGATGGCCAAGAATTCTGATTAAATTATTATGTTTACGGTTAAATTCTTTCGTGTTTTTTTCTTTCCTTGACTTGAGTTTTTGGTTACAGGTATTGAAAATTATGCCAGTACAGAAGCAAACTCGTGCTGGTCAACGTACCCGTTTCAAGGCTTTCGTAGCTATTGGTGATAGCAACGGCCACATTGGTTTGGGTGTAAAGTGCAGCAAGGAAGTAGCCACTGCCATTCGAGGGGCGATCATTCTCGCCAAACTGTCTGTCGTTCCCGTGCGTCGTGGTTATTGGGGTAACAAAATCGGTAAACCCCATACTGTACCATGCAAGGTAATAAATTGTTTCAACAATATTTAATTTTTCACATACAAATGATGAATAACCATTATTCTTTCGCGGTTTCCACCAGAGGGCATTGCTCTATGATGGCCAGAATATCTGACCAACTTTCTTAAAACAAAGTCTTATTCGCCCAAGTTTAGTTGTTAACAGTTTGTTTATTTTCAGGTCACAGGTAAATGCGGTTCAGTCACTGTGCGTCTGATCCCCGCTCCACGTGGTACCGGCATCGTATCTGCACCCGTTCCCAAGAAACTGCTTCAAATGGCCGGTATTGAAGATTGCTACACTTCAGCGAGAGGCTCAACCGGTACTCTTGGCAACTTCGCTAAAGCAACTTACGCTGCTATCGCCAAGACTTATGCTTACTTGACACCAGATTTGTGGAAGGAGATGCCTCTAACCAAGACACCGTACCAAGAGTTTGCTGATTACTTGGCTAAAAATCACCGCCCCGTTTCGGGACAGAGACCAGCTGAAGCTGGCCTCTAACCCGACAAACGTTCGGTTTTTTTCGTTTGATTTTTTAAGTTGATTTCAAGCACTTGCGTTCAATACGTTCATGGGTAGAAAAAGTGAAATACGATTGTTGAATAAAATGTATTCAATAATCCTATTTCGCAAATTCTGTCCATGAATGTATTGAAGCATGAAAAATAATAATTGTTTAAAAATAAGAAACAAAAAAATAAACAGGTCTTGTGAAAATTTTCTTTTAACTAGTACCTTTATGACCTCATCCTATCCACAAGCTGGATCAAAAATAATACCGGGTGTGGCTTCAGATACGTGCATTGATAAATCGCGACTTAATTAATTATTAATTAAATAAAACTGGCGATGTTTCATATACGTAACTAATTATTTCCGTTATAAATCCGTATTCTTAATGTTCACAAGCGCGTTTCACTAAATTTGAATTTTCAACCCTTACAATTATGCTAGTCACTGATTATTAAATGGGAAGGAACAGTGTGGATTGTCAGAAGGATATGTTAATAAAAGAGATAATGTAAAAAAAATATTTATTAATCTACCACTTAGCGCGTTTTCCCCAGTCTTTGGGTGTCCAATGCAGACATTTAGGGTCGATTCTGACAAGTCTGCTATCCATGGCTTTTTTGTGACTTTGCATAATTTCCTGATTTAAGGTAATAATATATTGACCCTTATAATAATTGATTAAATTTAAATTTTGTAAAGTTGAGATGACATCTTCTTTTTTAATACTTGTTAACTCACAAATTTCACTTTAAAAATAACAAACAATAACATAATTAATGAAAAAATCTTAGATACTTACTTAATCGTTATTTGTGGCTTCTCATTATCACCTACGGGTTTCATTGATATTAAAATTTCTAAAATAGCTTGTGCCCAATAACTTCTATATGATAATAAACCTAAATCGGAAAGAGGTTTCTCGGGGGAACCGGTTTTACCTTCGAACTTTGATAATTCATAACCTGAAACGGCACTCGCAAATTTTCGAAGTTTTTTCTCAAACTTTAAAACTTACTAAATTCGATTAGTAATTTTCCGTAACCTTTTCGCTGATACGGAGGCATTGTTAAAATACAAGCAACATTAAAATCTTCTGTTGATTCTTTCTCTTTTGAAAAATACCCAACAATATGAAAACCTCTATTATCAAATATGGTCATAACGTAAAACAAAAACGGATCAGTGTCATAATACAATGTTTTATGATCTAGGAAAAGTTTCGCTAACAAACATAAATTCTGGGCATATACTTTATTTTTTCGCCCGTCTATTTCGAAAAACGAGACGTTTTCTTTTCTATAAATTTCATTTCCGGGTGGATGCCTTAAATTACACTTGACCAAGTGGCGTTCAAGACACTTTCTGCTCTTTCTATATTTTAGGCAAAATTCGCAAATGTATATACAACCCAAGTTTACCATCTCCTGTGGATATGGAGCAAAATACCATGGTTTTATCCTGTGTTTTCCCAATTCAATCATATCAATGTTTTTCATCCTGGTGACAACATCATCATGATGAGACACCATACTTCCAGACTGCCTCGGCCCTGGAGGCATCTGTGTGGGACCATCTTGCGAATCTTCACTTTCAAGAGATGGTCCTTTTCTTTTCCTATTTATCCGTTTTTGTAGCGCCGCTGCTAAAACAGCACTACCGTTGACCAACTCTGGTGGGGCTGTAACAGGACTTGACGGTCTTGACACCGAACCAACAGCACCACCACCCCCAATATGAATTTTTTTCGGAGTTGATACTCCAGTGTTACTCCCGCCGTCCCGTCTTGGAAAGTGGACCTTACGAGTATCTAGAGATTCCTCAGTGACCCACTCGTCTAACCGTTTATTAACTGAAACCGCAAACAGCTTTTACAACTTATTAAACGTGTGCCCACCCTTACAATCAACGTAATGGACATAATATAATTTTGATCCTTCTACGTCCTTAATACTGATAATTTCGGCCAAAGCTACAATTTAAATTATCAAAGAAATGTAAAAGTGCACAAAATAGATGCTTACGCCAGTCTGAAGTCCCAGTCATATGAACTGGGAGCCTGCATCCTTCAACCAAAGAATTCTGGAAGTGAGGTTATGTTGACATTTTGCTTTTGCAAATTTTTAATAAATAATTACCACAGAATCACAAATTGTGGTGTCGTCGATTTCCTCCATTTCCACTTTCATCGAATCTGATTATATTTTACACCTATGGGCCAAAAAATGTTACTTATCCAACACAAATACCATACAGAAGTTGATTAAAAACCATAACGCATAATATCCATAACTCACAGTAATCCATAATGGTTTTTTTCCATTATTGCTCAATTTTAGTCGAAAGCAATGTTTTGATGAATTTTAATAATTTTATCTTCATATTTACGTTTGGCGAACAAAAATAATTAATACAAAGAAGTGTTTACTATTTAATAATCAATAGCAATTCATTAACTACCATGAGCGTATTTATGTTGCTTTTTAGGGGTTGTGTACGAAAAAAACACCCTTTAAAATTCAAGGAAAACACAAATTACAATAAAACCAACTCGTTAAATAAGAACTGATACAATAAAATGTTTATTTGAGAAAAATCACTTTTCCCCCCCAAAAAATAGAAAACCAGAAAAAGGGTTCACTGTAGAAATAAATTATTTAAACGTCTATCCACGTCTTTGTTTACAAATCAAATTTGTGGTGATAAGATATTTGACCTTAGAATAATTTTAATGCAGCGTTCTCCCAATCGCAGCCCACAGTTCAAACGAAGTTATCATTATCACTCAAGGAGCAGAGTTGTTAAAGTCATGCCCCCAATAGTTAGATTTTGCCACTTAACGTGAGTGCAACTATGGAGAACTACACCTCAGACAGCAGTGATTGTGATACAAATGGAAATAAAGTGTTCGATTTCGCGTATTTGCTCTTAGATTCCAAACAACTCGAAGAAAATCTGGACGAATTGGGCAAGGATCACAACAAAAGAGAAGACATCGAGTCGATTATTTTACACCACAATCAACTGACGACGTTTCCTAAAAATTTGGCAAAATTCACAAATGTCCAAGTTTTGGATATCAGCAACAATGGTCTTACAGTGTTACCTGACTTTTTCGAGTACTGGCATTTAACAACATTGGTAGCAAAAAATAATCGTTTCAGTAATGAATCTCTTCCGAAAAGTTTCACAGTCAGTGAGAGTCTAAGAGAGTTAAACTTGAGCGGAAACATCTTCGAACAATTTCCTGAACAACTCTTCGAATTTATTAATCTAAAATACCTATACTTAGGAGGGAATAAAATCAAAACGATACCAAAAAACATTAAAAAATTAAACTGGTGAGTGGTTCTTTTACCGAAACAAGTTATAATTACAAGTGATAATTTTTGTAGCCTTCAAATCTTGTCAATGGGTGGTAATCAATTAGTGGAAGTTCCTTCAACTTTAGGTCAACTGAAACAACTGCATGCTTTGGTATTATGTGATAATTTGATCGAAAGTTTGCCATCAAACATCGCAAATTTACACAATTTAAAATCGCTTCAACTGCACAAAAATAAATTGCGCACTTTACCGCCTGAAATCATCGCGCTGAAAAATTTGACTGAGGTAACAAAACAAGTCTTACCTTTGTCTAAAATTACACAGAAAAACTTTTTGCAGTTGAGTCTTCGTGATAACCCTCTGGTTGTGCGTTTTGTTAGTAATATAAGACACAACACTGCTAGTCTAAAAGAATTGTCCGCTCGTGTGATAAAATTACACCAAATTAGAGTTGAAAAAGGCGACATTCCTGTTAGTTTACTAAATTATTTAGACTCAGCCCATCACTGCGTCAATCCGTACTGTAAAGGTGAGTTGTGTAATGAATTTTTTCTACTACTGTCATCAGTATTATACAAACTAGATTTGACAGACGTAAAAAAAATCTAATTTCAATAATTTTTGTAGGAGTATTTTTTAATAGTCGTGTGGAGCACGTCAAGTTCGTCGATTTCTGTGGGAAGTACCGACTGCCGCTGTTGCAATATTTGTGTTCGACGAGATGCGTGGAGGACGATGAGGATTTGCGCCCCCCTCGAGCCTACCTGATGAAAAAAGTATTGTTGGGTTGAATTATAAACAATAAACTTTTAATACTTTCTTTATATTTTAAATATTCATGGTATATATTGCATATTCCAGTGTCAAGTTTACATATAATAAGCGAGAGATATATACAGCATAAAACATTGAGCTGAAAAAAATTTCAAATATAATCCGCCTAAAATTCTAAATAAAATTACATAGTTAAGGACTTACTAAGAACAGCATTGTTAGGACCAACCAAACATAACCTGGTTACAATTCTTGCAACTGCTGAAAATGTAGGCTCGTAACATGTTGTAAAAGCTTATTTACAAATTTACACTAGTTTGCCGAAAATTTTTTGATAAACCTGCACACTGAGCGGGCCTTGAGGAGTATATTTGGTTGTCCAGAATGAAAATTTACGCATAAAACCGAAGCAACCATTCGATTTCCGTGCCTAGATATAAGCTGTGAAGGAAGATTAATTCGTCTACTATAATTTTCCAAGGCAATAAAGAGAACCCTAATTTAACGTGAAGCAATTTTGAAAATTTTATAGTGCCTTTGCGATTTTTTTCAAGAGCTTCGGTTATTGCCTGCAAAATTACTGTTATTTACAATTGCTTCAGTTCGCTAGATGCTACACATGACAACATGAAGGAAAAATGCAGCCTCTTGGATCTGGCTTCAGGAAGGGCGCACTTTTAGTTCATGATACAACAATGAAAGTGCATTCATAGAATGCATATTCTAACACAAAGCTGTTTTTTAATTTTTTTTTCAATCTCACTTGGTAGAGAAAAAGTTTAAATTTCCCAAAATTAAATCATATAATTAAGTCATAAATAAAATATATTCTGTCTTGACTAATTCAGGAGGCACCCGAAGATAAACTAAATCCAACTATTACTCATAAAAAAATCATTAAAATATTTTGATATGTTATGTTTTACTTGACTTTCTACTCTAGAGCATTTGCATCTATTAAAATCACAAAATATTTCTTTAAAATGAACTGTCATTTAAACAAGATATTTACATAACAAGTAATAAATATTTAAATACATGTTTGCTATGAGGCGACAGACGTTCAGAAAGACTATTTCACACTTGACGCCATTTTAAAACTAACTGATACAATCGTAAATACTACTAGCGTAGAAGTCATTCGTTTTAAGGTCTAGACATTTATCTCGAATCCTCTCCATTGATTAGGCAATGGAAAGATCGCCAACTTCACATGAAGACCTAAAAAAAGTCAACTGAGATCTATAAAATTGTGAAATGTGCCAACCATCGTCCTAATAAATGGGGTTAAAATGTCTAAAACTTCACCTGTAACCAATTAAGGTACAAGCACACCCCAACATTTGTTCCAGAGTCTGGGATTGAAATGAAAAAGTCATGTATTCAGATGATTTATTCGCATTTTAGGAAACATCGAAACTGAGTTAACTGTCGTTATAATATTTTAATATTGCGATTGTTGGAGAGGTGACAAAGGAAAGGGATAAGGGAGAGTGTGCTTTTACCTTAAATTAAAAATTAAATTATTAATTTGGCTATGTCAAGATAAATACACTTTGCACATAATATAGATTTTTCTCTTTTGCTTTTAAAAAGTAACTCCAAACCGTAGATAGTGCACATCTATGGAAACTAATAATAATTGTCCTAGTTTCTTGGAGGCGTGTTCAAAAATGTTAACGCATTGCACTTCGTAAGCTAGTACGATCATTAGGATAATTCTACGTTGTAATGTTTCACTCATTTTTTTTCTAAAGCGTAAGCTAAAGTACACAATATTTCAAGATTAAATATCTTTTCGCTTTTGTATACTCATATCATATTCACACCAACTGTTTAAAACTCTACGGTCCTGGATTTTATCTCAATGTCAGGTTGTTATACAATTACTACTTCATACCAAAACGAATAACCTTAAATAATTAACACCAAATGCTTTGCGTAAGTAAATTATGTTAAAAACCACTAATATAACGATGAAAATCACCAATAGAAGATCTACGTTAATTAATAACTTATTTTGTTTGTTTAAAAATATACGAATTTTTATCTGGTAATACAAATATGCTCCAAAATATCATTGAAAAATCTGTTCCAACTTTTCCAAAAACAAAAACTAAATTAGTCATTCAACTAAACCTACTTAAAATTTACAATCTTTTTTTATGTATAAATAATATGTACATATATTGTGATTGGTGCGACACCAGATTTTTCAATGTTAACTCAAATACTTATAAACGCAACAAAATTTTTAAAAATAAACGCGCTAAAACAAATGGGCATTAAAACAAACGCCTACAAACAACTAATCAAATTCTGTACAAACGCACGTATATTAAATATAGTACAGCTGTCCCAATCAACAATCTCACACAGATCGCTTACTAGATTAAAGGGAGAAATGGGACGAGCGAAAGGGGCTCTTCCCTTGGAGGATTGAACTACTTAAGGTATTCCGGCGGCGGTCGCCTGCACGGGGGCCGCCGTCGTATCGGCAGCGTCCGTCGCCCCCGACGAGGCAGCGCCATCTTGTGGACTATTCGTAGCCTCCTGAACCCCTCGCGGTATCAGAATGGAATTCAATGACGGTTGAATACTCAACTCTGCAACCATAAAATAACACTAACTTTGTCATTTTTCTTAATAAAATCACCTTGTTCCGTGAAATTGAATAGAGGAGGCAATTCTTTACTCGTGGGCAAGCGGGTGTTGGGGTCCCGAAGCTCATTGAAGAATGCATGAGCGCAAGCCTGCAATGGACTGATCCTTGATGAAGGAGTGTATTCCAAAAGTCTGGCCACTAGCTCGATCGCTTCTGGGGGAGTCCTTGCTCGAAATACCTATCGACAAAATTTTAACAATTTTTTATAAATCGAATCGATGCCACTACAATACGATTGACACATTGACGTTACAAACAGTTTTATTTATGTATACGCTTTTTTGGAGCATCGTCACATACAAAATCACGCAACAGAGGACTAAACCTTTCGTGATATTACGAAAAAATTATTTGTTTTATAGATAACATAAATGACAAAAAACTATAACCAACATTTATTATTGGAATCGTTAAAAATTGATAAACATTTAAAAATATCTAACGGGTTTTATTTTCAATAATTTGAATTTTTGACGGAAATTTTTAACATTGATTAACTGCTTCTGAGAATATAACAATAGAAAATTCTTGCCTAATTATATTTAAGATAACTTGTTGATTTTATCTTTTCTTTGTATATGAATAAATAGTCTATTCCATACCTCCTTGAATTTTAACTGAAAACTCTATACCCCATTTTTTTTTAAATTGGATTGGACGAGTAATTAGTCTAGTTCAAACTATTGAAAAAATTAATTTTTGACTTTTGACATTTTGACGGGAGTTTTGAATCTTCTTTTACCTTTTTGTGTAATAATACTTGATAAAGAGAAAAAATTTAGCTCTTTTTGTTTGACGATGTATAATAGCAATCACATAGTATCAGTTATAATAATCATAAAAATTATTAAAAATTTAAATTTCCGAATGCAAAGGCAACCAGTTTTTTTAGATGCTACTCGTATGAGATGTAAAACATACCTTCCCATTTAAATTTGCTAATGTAAAACTGGCTGTCCAATGCTGTCACTTACTTCCTTCTTAAAAAATGGACTATAATTCTATGAAAAATTCTCGCTTGCTTTATACTAGAGAACAGTTTAATTATCCTAATTACACAAGTCAACACAACAAGAAACCACGAAACTAATTATTACGCTTTAACTAAGACAATATTTTTTTAACAGTCGTTTTAAATCCTACAAGTTCTCCTCCAGTTAATTTTCAACCCTGTTCCTTGGATCTGAGGACGTTATTTTCACAATATTAATATTGTTTTTCATTCCCGAATAAAAAAACTTACAATAAATAAAGTAGCTTATAAAGTAAAAAGTACCCTAAACTATACAAAAAATAAATAAAAATTTGAATAAATACACTACAATGTATGATCTTTAAAACAGCATGTATGTAGTAGGCGTAATTTCATTACAAAACATTAAAATTATGTAACTATAGTTGCTTCAGTAATAAAAAAATAACACAGTTTACAATAAAAAAAAACAAAAATATAATTTTTATCATTTAAACATTAATATTTTTATTATGACCAAATAGACAAAACTATGTATTTAAGTGTTAATGATCATTCCATTTTTTTTATTTTTCTAATATAAAATTTGATAATTACAATTACTTTAATTATTTAATGAAAGAATTACTTTTACGATTAAGTTGTGCCATGAAAAAAAGTTATTTCAATTTTTCCCATTTTTTGTATTTCAAAACGAGATGAAAGAAAAAAAATTGAATTCCAATTGCCTCTCTTACCATGCAGAAAAAGATGAAGCAGATTCCTTCTGAAATATGGTATTAACAAGCATCATACAGTAAATTATTATCTTGTAAACAAGCTCATCACGCTTCAAGTTTCATTCGCCCAAAGGAGCGAATGAATGAATTCATATTTCTTTTAATCAAAAAATTCGGTATTAAGTAAAACCCACAATAGGGCGTATCCTTGTGCGTGACACTTTGATGTGTTGCATCCAACATCAAGCAATAAATCTTGTCTCTTCCCAACAGATTTAATTTTTCCCCTGACAATTTCATTTCCACATAATTAATTTCGAACATGTATATGATGACGATTAAAACTGTCACTTTCACAACAAAACAATCACTTACAAACACATGCACACGTTTAACATGAGAATAGAATGATTTTCAAAAACACACATCGCAAAAGCGTTTAGTAATTGAATGACGGCAAGTAACCAAAGCCACTTACACGTATTCTTTGGTGATTGGTGCTACATTGTGGTAGAAACATTCTTGACAGCAAAAACTGCAAACAGACGTCCTCGTCAAAATTTTACTTGTAATAAAACAAGCTTGTGACAATTTGTTAGTATGTTATTCCTCGTGACAGACACAAATCAAAATTCCGTGGAAGAAAAAAAAAAGTGGTAGAACGTCTGGTTTGTAGTCGTTGCGTGCGAAATCAGTTTATTCGAGAGATATGTAAAATTAATTTAATTTCATGTAGAAAGAAATCGATTTTTGTAAATAAACATTTAATCAGAAAGCATAAAAATAAATAAAATTTTCGTCCCTTTGGTGTAATTCCAAGTCTTCGTATGGTAATGTTGTCAACACGCCACTCCCCGGAGACAAATATTTTTTACGGCTGCTATAAAAATTCTAAAACTTCTACTACTGCTGCTTTTATTAAAATAGCAAAAATATATTTGAAATTAGATAATTATTTGTACCTCTCGAATAAACACAATAATGCAAAAAGCTTCACATTCACTTCATGGTTACTTCCGGTTATTTAAAAATGCACAATTGATGTTAACAATTGCCACTGACCTGCTGCCAAGGATGCGACTTGATCTGTGGAAACTTGAACTCGGTATAATTCGGATTCATCTCTTTGATCTGTTCTTTAGTTGGCGTGCCTAAAACTTTGATAATTTCTACTAATTGGTCTACACCAGAATCTCCGGGGAATATTGGCTGTCCCAACAGCAATTCAGCCAGAACACAGCCCGCACTCCATACGTCGATCTTCGTGGTGTAGTCGATAGCGCCGAATATCAGTTCCGGCGCTCTGTAATAACGACTGCAAATGTACGAAACGTTTGGTTCGCCTTTGACGAGGTGTTTCGCGCTGCCAAAATCGCATAATTTCAATATGCCAGTGCCTGGATCCAATAGAAGATTCTGCGGTTTTATGTCCCGATGACAGATACCCAACGAATGTATGTACGCCAACGATCGGAATAATTGGTACATATACAACTACAAAAAGGACGTAATAATCAAAGTTAATCTTTCAAAATGTTAAACTCACCTTGATAAAAATTATCGGGATTGTTTGCTTTGATTTGCTGTAATGTCTCGCTACTCTGTATACCGTTTCTGGGATGTATTCCAACACCAAATTCAGGTACACTTCGTCCTTCTGCAACCCAAAATTAACGCTGTTCATTTTTTTACAAATTTCTGATCACTGGGAGACACTTTAACCAAAATGCAAGGAGATTTAACCTAGTTGTAAATAAAAAAATGTAAACGAAATTAGAGTTGCCATAAATTTGAAATAAATGATTTAATGTAAAATTATTCAAAAAGATAAATAACTTCAATTCCAATCTTGAAGGACAGGCTCTACCTCTTGTGTTGTCATTGCTTCTCTAAAATGATTACGGCGAAACTTGTTGTAACATTTAAATCTACCAAAAAAAAAAAGTATCTCACTGGACTAACAAGTAACTAATGCTAAGAACGTCAAAAGTTACTCGCATTTAAACAGTCTAAGTAAATGACATAAAAGAATTATACAGCTTAGAGAATAGAGGATAGAAAATAAGTCTGCCTGGAATATAACAAGCGGTCTACATAGTCCCGGTTATTTTATATCATTTATGCAATTATGTAATATAGAGTGTCTAGTTTTAGGGCCCGTTGCAAAAAAATCACTGCCATTTATTCTTTTTAATACGAGAGAGAATCTTTTGAATCAAGTTGTAAACGTACACAAAAGAAATAAAATTTTTATTAATTAAATGGTAATATTTTTTGTCTAAAATATGAACGGCGGTAAAATTTGCTTAAAACACCAATTTACAACAAAACGAAGCAAGTCCATCATTCATTTTCGTTAGAATGTTTGTTTTCAGTGCCAAGTGTAACCTCATTGCAACTTTAAAAATTCCTAGTAGATTAACTTGTCTTTTCCGTGTAATATTCGATAATTTAACAAGGTATAGTCCTCCTCGAGTCGCTTTTGAACGCGTTTTTTTTATATTTCACAATTCGCTATTAACCGCCTTGAATGCCAGTGTCAAGGTTCATCTATCACCTACTGTTATAAGGATAATATATTCACACATTCTACAACCAGGTCGCGAAAATGCTTTTTGGCAGCTGAGCGTTATTAGTATATTGGTTAAATTTAAACGTATTTTTCAAGCCTACTCAAAATGACATCTCGTTTAAAAAATCAAAAAAAAAAAAAATCACATTGACAATAAGTAGTTTTTAATGACTTCGTCCATGGAGGTGTCTTGTAAAGCATAAAATCACTCTATATAGCCAGGGGGACCAACTTTCTACAAGAAAATAAAGCAGGAGCATACCTGCGTACTTGTTGCCATGAATATGGACATATCGCAAGGAACTTCAGCCTGAGATAAATATAAAAAGACAATTATTTGTATCAACTTATAATCAGAAACCGCTCTTTAATAAACTACCGGCAAGTTTGCGTTTTGCCGATATTCAAATATAATGCTTCGTAGGTAGACGAGGTTGCAACTCAACCGTGATTAATTATTTTAATAGGCAAGGCGGAAACTGCAAATGATCTCACAAACGACATTTACCCAACGTAGAAATCGTTAACTAACTGTAAAGACAACTACCACCAATCGGACACTGATATCATCCTCAACTTATCAAATATTTAAAATGTTTTCAGCTACGCGGTCGATTATGCAACATGAAAAACTTGAGTGGTAGGAGATAGCAACTGGTCTGGGTTACTTCAACAATTCTTTTTTAATTAACCATAAAAAACGGCAAACAAGTAGCTAATATTTTATTGTTATTAAGCTTGCATGTGTACCGATTTTTATCCTTGGAAATTAACTCACCTTATCTCCACTGGAGTAAAAGAAATATTTAAGTTTAACTATATTACAATGTTCTAATTTCCTCATAATTTGAAGTTCCCGGTTCTGAAAAAATAAAAAAATCATTAATACATCGCAACAACATAATAATAAGTTTAGAAAACTAAAAAAGGAAATAATTTTGAAAAAAATAATATTACGTTATTGACCGATAAAACGTGTGTAAACTGATAACATATCGAACACATTCAATAATAAAATTTCGTATAATACCTGTGCCATAGCCATTGTCACACTGACAACGTTGCAACTCCGTTTTTTGAGGTGAAATAAATCAGAAACATTTGATTTCTGTATAAAGGAAGAATCTGTGTTACAACTAAACCCTACTGACAAATTTTGAGTCAGAAGATTCCACTATTTCATATAGAAAAAAACATTATAAAAAGTCTTAGAATGGCACGATATACAGGTATCTGTAAAAACGTTGAAAGCTTTTAGGGAGTAGTTCCCTAGGTTAAGATAAAAAAAAAGTTCCTATGAACTTCTGTCCGGACATACTTAAGGTAGATAAAGCAAAATAACTCGACCTTATAACGTAAAATAAAACATTTTAGGGTACCTATACAATTTTTGATATCACTAAGAAATTCAGCACCAAAAAATTATTCCAGGTGCAAAATTTATATCCATCTGTTACTGAGAAAATCTTTTGCCCGCCATCTTTAGGAGGCTTCAGCTCCCCCAGGAAGCATTTTCGGACATAGGTGAAAAGGTTTTTTTATTAGGGAACCGCCCCAAAAATCTTTCAACGTTTTTTCCGGATACCAACACGAGATACTAAATTTAGGAGTAAACTCTTAAACAAATATGTATTTATAACATGCACTTGAAAAAATTTGTAAACAGTGTGACATTTTTACTATATGTACGGGTATCAATGTAAGAAATCTGAGATAAAAAAAGAAACTACAAATTGTATATTTAAACTATGCGACGCAAGTGTAAAAATCAGGAACAGTGTACAAAACTCCAAGATACAATATTTTTCTGGTCAAGAACCCTTAAGCCAAATTAATACAAGACAAAAATGTGTTTCCAAAAAGTTGAAATTTTAAAAAAGTATAAAACTAAGCCGGCATTTGAAAGCAAGACCACTCACCTTAAACCTCTTGTCTTGGAGGACTTTTTTGATGGCGACAAACTCGTTGGTTTCGCACAGCTTGGCTTGATAAACGACTCCGAAGCTGCCATTGCCGATAACTTTGGTGTCAGTATATGAAACTTCTTGTGGTCTGTCGGGACCTTGTCCAGGTGTTGCTACCACTGTAGTAACTTTGCTACCGTCCTTACCTAAATAACCACCAACAAATCGAAAACATAACATTGATGTATCTATACATTTGAAGAGATCGTCAGGAAGATCATTTCTCAAACAAAATCGTGATCTTCCGATCGATCAGATTTACATAATCGATGTGCAGAGACGTGCGGCGAATGGTTATCGGTTATGGGGGAGTCTCGTGATGGGACTGCAAACTAGCGCTAGTTCCATAAACGAATTTAACTTAATTTTTAATCCATAATTACGCTGCTTCGATGCAGTCAACGAAAAATCGGTCTGATCATGGTTTCCGGTCTACACTATATAGAATTGACTAAAAGAAGGGCTAGAATACCTGACTTGAGTTTGGTCGAAGCAATGACGTATTGATCGTCGTCGAACACTTCACGGCTTTTTTCTCTTATATTCGCACCAGTGGCCATCGAAGATCTTGCAAAACACGATTACAGAGCGAGAGACTCTCCTCCACAAGTAGAATCCGAATTTAAATTTAACGAGGGCTGCTTGTTCGCAAGCCGTGATAATTTCAGGCTATGGAATTAAACTAAAGAAGAATATTTTTACAAATTCTGACACTTTTACGTACAAAGGTTAACAAAGATCGAAAAAATCTGTATGACGGTTGCTGCGGCGGCCGGCTACTTTAATTTTGTCACAAAAATTATTTTTTGACGGTGTCAAATGCAACATCAGCAGATGGGGAAAATTACGAACACTTGATCGGAGAAAAAACGTAAAGCTTCTTGTTCGATCTTGACGTGTTTTTTATCTATATGATGGCGTTTTACGGTTTCGTTCGTCTGTCGATACGAATTAAATGCACAATGCTGGCGACTGAAATATAATAAAGTGTATCGATTCTAAAACATGGCAACAATTCGATTCCGTCTTCGGTTTAACACTGCTTTGACCAAACGAAGGAAAATGTTTCTATTAAAACTTAATTAAGTGTAGATTTTCTTCAATCAAACAGAGAGTCGGTGATTAAAATTAAAGAGATTGACTGAGCGTGGGGTTTGACATTGCTCAATTTATACAAGGTGAAGACTTATTTATTTTGCGCTCCCGTCACATAACTAAATAAACACAATAATTTATCGATCGTATCGACATAAATACTGGTAATTTTCAGGAGGATAGACCACTAATTAACTTTTCATTTAGTATTGGTTACATTTCCAGCATTTTAATTAAATCTCATCTTACATTAAGCGCGATCCTTGGGGTACCCCTTGTGATACCTAAATTACTTCTCTATGTATCGAAAAGATTTATAATTGTTAAAGATTGAATTGAAAGCATGTCTTGAATTAAAATTATAGTAATTTTTTAAGTCAATAGAATCACGTAAATTATTATGTAAGCTAAACATAGGTTTGTAATTTCTAATAAAGAGAGTTTTGGTGCACTCATATACGTATAATTAAAATGCACTTAAAACGTGTTATGTAATTTAAAAATTATGCATCAAAGTTTTTGAAAAAAAGAATTACAAATTAAAAATTTGAGTGACGCAATTTTTGATTAATAAATACCTTTACGTAAATCAAATTAAGTAGGTTTTTTATATAAGTATAACAGACATTTACTTTACAGTCTTGCTACAGGGTGATTACCCAAGATAAAAAGTTTATTCCAGACGACAAATAAAATGAGAGAATTTCAGAAATTCAGATAGTACTGAGTAAGAAGGGATAAAATTTTATCAAATCTGAGTAGGGTGTTAAAAAAAGATTGTAAAATATTTAAAGAGGTAATAGTATAGACCAAGATAAACAAACATTTTTTAATAAACATGGAATATTTTTTTTTTACCCCCTGAATTTATTTTGCAAAAATGTTTAATATTTTTGTTATAGTCCCCAATAAATAGCCTCGAGGAGCTGCAAATACGCATAATTCAGCAATTCCAACAACTCCAAGCCAATAAGAAGATTTTAGAAAAAAATTGAATATCCTTCAGACGAAGGAAATGGAAAGAGAGCTCTTTGAATATTTTTTGTAAAGTTGATTTTTGTAATTATTAGAAGCTTCTTTTTTTTTGTTTGAACAGTTTGCAAATAAATGTTTCAAAAAACGAATAGTTTATTTAAATTTTTTTGTTTATTTTGGTCCATACTATTACTTCCTGAAATGTTTTACAACTTTTTTTAACACCCTGTATAAACTACTTGAATAATTTCAGTGATCAAAAATTTAAAAAAGAATTACAAATGTTTCAAACATAGAAGATCCATTTGTTTAAGTTTAAAATAATGTTTGTTTCTTCGGTAGAGTAGAAACACATGTCGAGAATTATCAGTTTCAAAATGACAGATTGAAAACATGACATGACGGCTATTTGCACTTCCGTGTAGTAATCGTAGATATGAGAATAATTATAGGAGTAATAATTACTGTAATTATTTTGAAAATTTATAATTTTTATTTCTCAAATAATTAAATGTTGCTACTTGATAAAAATAAAAATTACAAATTATAACGAAATGATTGATTAATGAAGAAATAGAAATTTATCTAACATTGTACCAAAGAAATGTTCGATCGATACGACTCCAAGGAAAGCATATTTTCTTGAAGTTTTTAATTTAATTTTCCACTATTTAAGCGATGTTGTAAAACCGTATTCTCAAATAGCCGCAAGCGTAGACGTCCACATGCTGACCTTTTAAGCTATAAACCCACAACAATAAAAATTTTTACTTCTGTATAGAGAAAATTGTTTATCGAAGTTTTATTACGAACAGATGGTTCAGATAATCAAAAAGCAATTCTGCAACATACTTGCACGGACTTAAAATTTTTAAACCGCTACTGTTGCAAATTGATTTGAGCAAAAATAAATATGTATATAATTATAAAAATTAACTTTTTTTTAATAATAAACGTTCGTTTTTGCCCGTTAAAACTTCAATACAATTTATTCTTTAACTCACTTAAAGCAAAGGGTCTTCCTGCGAGGGCTTTTGTGGCTGCCACTAAATGAATCCCGACAACACAAAGCTTATTATAACGCTGCGAATTTTCTTGTCCACAAAAATAAAAAGTTATATTTTGTAACAGTTAGATAACAGTGTTATTTCGATTAGGAGCGAATCGTAATTGATTTAAGCAGAACACTACCGTGCGAAATCGTAATGGAATATTTTCTGGAAAGTTAAAAATGATTACGATAACGAACAGGTCCAATGAGAGTATAAACTTGTTTAATTATTTTGAAACAATTCCTTGAGATAAACACATCATTGTAGTATTTTTTGTAAATCTAATAATAAGTGTGATTTCTCACAAGTCAATCTTTTTGTTGTCTAGAAATTTATTTACATAGAAAGACAATAAAGTCCAAAAAAACACACACGCAAAACAGTTGTCGTTTTTCTTCTTTAAATGGCGAAGAAAGTCAGATTCTAATCATTGTCCTCGATTATGTTCCGTAACACTTTCTTTCAATGTTTTGTTTCCGTCCACTTTCGACTTAACTCGACTGAATTTAGCACTGAATGATATTGTGAAAATGTAATTAACGCAATATTAAAGATGCCACTTGTTTGATCGAATCGAGATAATTAAATTAGCAGTGATTCCGTCGATTTTTCACCCTAAAAAATTTCCTACTTACTTCCCGAGCTCGACAATGATCGCTTCAACTTCCTCCAACAATACAACAACCTGGAGTAGCCCGTTTTTTGACTTTTCCCCAATCCATCGATCGCCGGCACCGACCCCAATGTCGCACTTTTCTTCGTCGACTTGTGCTTATCCGAAGATAAATCACAGACCGAAACTGACCTTCCATACTTCGGTCTTGCATTTTTGTTCTTTTCGGGCATAACACTCTGCAATTTTTTACACTCGCACTGTTTTTTAAGCACATGATTGGCATCACTTGCGACTTGAGAATCGCTATTTTTGGTCGGTTCGTCGATTTTAGGTGCCATGGGTTCGATCAGCCGGTGTTACTGAGAAAAATGGGTTGGTCAAGGTAATAGTTGTGATTTTAATGCGCATCTAAGACGCCCATCCGGTTTATAAGGTTAGAATATTCACAACAATAATCTACATACACGATTGAGACACGTGATGCGAACAATACACAGAACTATGTTAAAAAGGTGGATTTGGTGCGTAATACGTATTGATTGATCTAAAGCCAACAGAAAAATACCGGATCAGTTCGATATCTGCAAAATTAATTAGCAGTGATTGGTATTTTTGCAATGTTTGGTAAATATTTAGACGGAGATTTACGGCCGATTAAGAATTGAAAAAACAAATACAGAGGATTACTTTACCACCTAAGAACAGACAAACAAAGAAAAGTGTTTTTGGTTGTAACAATAAACATTTTAATCATTTGAAATTAGAAAAATGAGAAAATACGGGGTGTTCGAGCAAATATTTTAACCACTAATAGAACTCGACAAGAAAAACAACTTTTTTTATCACAACTTTTGCCGAAAATAGGTTATGTCTGAGTTAAAATTAAAAATAAGTTGAATTGTTTTAAAAGAAAAAAACCTATGGAACATAAAAGCGTAAGGACAAAAAAATTATCGTTACATTAAGGTAGATCAGTGTGTCAGTGATCAATACTTGTTATAAAAAAATGTTCGAAATGTGGCCCTTCGTTGGCAATACACAGTTGTATACCCTTCGGACTGGAGAAGCTTGCGTTCGCACACACAACCCTTCGACCCCTTCGAGAATATTAATTTGAGCTGCGTAGGTACACTAATTGTTTCATGTGAGACCACAAAGAAATCACACGGATTTAAATCTGGTGTCCGCGGTGGCCATGTAATTAAACCTTGGCGACCAATTCATCTTTCGAGAAAATGGTTGTTCAACTAATTAATGTCGACGCTGGTGTAATGTGGTGGAGCTCCATTTTGTAAATACCACATGACTTTATTAATAATTTGAAATCGATGTGCACAATTCACCCGAAAGCACGATTACAACTGAGTAAACTGACGCGTGTAAACAACTGATAATTTTCTTGTGCACAAAGTAATCCCTTTTTGTGCACAAAAACTTTCACGGTCAACATTCAATGAATATAATTTTTATTAATATTTTTACTTCCACATAACAAGAACAGACACACTGAATGGTTCGTAAAAATCACAGGAGAAAAAATGCAAAGAAAAATTTGGATACGGAATTTGTTTGGTCTTCATAACGAATTCTTTTAGTGGTTAGAATAATTGCTCGTAATCCGTGAACACCCTGTATAACAAATATATATATAAGAATTAAAAATAGATACTTAAAATAAGGAAATATTCCACTTCATTTCATTCCACAATTGTGTGGATACATACAGAGTGTTAATAAATGTCTCTGAAACAAGCTACATGTGAAAATAAAAAATGTCAACATTTTTGCCCAAAATTGTTCTAGGTAGTCAATCCCTTCAATATCAAAAATCGATGCAAAAATTAAAAATATTTAATAGTCGTGGACAGACAAAGCAATTCTACTCGTATATGTTATGACATATGACTATTATTCACTCGCGTTCCCGGTTTGAGTTTACAAGAGGAAAAAAATTTTTATCTTTGATTTTACGCCAAAACTGCAAAAAAAAATGTTTTTGCTTTACTTGAAACCAGCAAATCTGTAATTAAAACTTCATTATTCTAACTCAGTAGAAAGAAATGTTCATTTTTCTCTTGATTTTGGACTTTTTTTTTTGGAATATTTTTTCTTTTCTTTTTAAGTCCTATCACATTGGCGGTTTTATTATTTTGACAATGATGTCACTTTGAGAAATGAGTTTACGCAAGTTAAATAACAAAAATGTTTGTGAAAAACATAATTTTAACAAACAACAACTCAAAGAAACAGCTTTAAGGTAAAAACCAAAGTCATTTTTAACAAGAACTATCATTATTTAATTAATAAATTAATTGCCAAAGTGACATAGTTGTCAAATAATTAAAACCGCGAATGTGATAAGAATTAAAAAGCAGAGAAAAAATATTCCAAAAAAAAGTCCAAAATCAAGAGAAAAATGAACTTTTCTTTCTACTGAGTTAGAATAATGAAGTTTTAATTACAGATTTGCTGGTTTCAAGTAAAGCAAAACTTTTTTTCCTTTACAGTTTTGGCGTAAAATCAAAGATAAACATTTTTTTCCTCTTGTAAACTCAATCCAGGGAACCTATTAGATATTAATTTACAATCACTGTAGTAATATGCCAATTCTTAATCTTTTGGAGATTAGAAAATTTGTCATTACATCCCGTGGTCGGAGTGTAATTTATAAAGGATTACAAAGGTTACAAAATCATTACATATTAAAAACTCATTTTGTTTGCATAGCAACTATGACAAAA